ATGGGTGGATGATTGTGTATAGTGTAAAGTGCTTTGGGGTCCTTAGGACCAAGTAAAGCGCTATACAAATACAGACCATTTTACCATTTTTTTTTTTACCATAAGAAAAGATTCCTTCTTATATCTGGAGGAATAAATATATTTCAATAAATATTAATGTTAGTTTAGAATTTTGGCCCACTGTGTATTTGAGTTTGACACCCCTGTTTTAGAGAGACAAAACAGAACTGCTCCGTTTGCTGATTTCCTTCTCACTGCATTTCGTTGCCTTGTACTTGTGACATGTGCAATGACAATAAAGTTGAATTCTATTCTATTCTATTCTATTTTCTGCAGACACAGCGTCGGCCATCCCTTCAGCTTTGAATATCCATCGCTACCTCGACAGCCACAGCCACACACATCCGTGCAAGTAAAAGTGATGCACTTTATTATACAAAGCATTAAAGGTCTCATATGAAGGCAAACTTTCACGTTCACCGGAAGAGGATTGCTTTTGTTTTTTTAAACTTAAGAGTATTTTTTTAAATTTTTTCTATTCATGGCAAAAATATTCTGAACTCAAGAGCCACCCGGTAGATTCATCTACTGATCGCAGCCAGAGCTCCTGTTTTGGAGTTTTCTATCTAACGCACAGTCAAAAGTGGTGACAGGCAGCTTTTCCTCTCCATAAATCATAAAAATATTATTGCAATCTGGTGTGCTCGTTCACACATGGTCAAGATATATTTTCAACTTATGTCTGTTTCCTCATTCCTCTCGCATGCAGTCCAGCAGTGAGGATCAGCGAATGCTGCTTTAACGTCTTTAAGAGAGCTTTTTGTAAAGAAAAAACTCTGCTAAAAGAAAACTTTATGAGAATGTACTGTGCCAAATGTATCACGCTACAAATAAAATCCACTGTTGAAATTGACCTCCGTCCTGTAAGTTGGACCCTTTTTGTACAAACAGTAAAGCTGGTGGTGTTTTTCGCAGTTTTCTCATCGTCTTCTCCTCGTCTTCTCCTCTTTGTATTTTATTGCCTACAAAGGTATAGTGTTACGCCTATTTGTGCAGCCATGAATATATACTTGTTTTTAATTAAAGCTCAGTAATATGCAGAAACAGCAACTTTGATTCTAGTGGGTTTTTTTCCCTGGTGTTACTCTGTTGTGGTAGTTTAGATTTATTCCAAGACGACAGTGAATACAAACTTAAAGGACAGAGTCACCATAGTGGTGCCTTCAGATTTCAAGATTCAGACTTTTTAACTGTTGCTACATAATACTTCAATAATCAAATATAGGGGGAAAAAAAAACCCTACGATATTTTTTATACTTATGTGTCGTATAATAATATAATCTGTGCACTTAGCTTGCTTGTTAAGGAAGATTTAAAAGTAGTAACTGAACCCTCTGAGGTCATCAGGGGTGACTGACTTGCACTTGAGCTTCAAACCATGTGTTTTTGATGGTTGTCTAAGAATGATCTTTCTTTTACCCTGAATGGCAGGACTTTGGAAAATAATAATAATAAAATTCCATGTTCTGATGGTGTAGGTTTGGTCTTTGGGTCTTCACCAACAGTAGCTTCACCTCACTGCGCCAGAAATTATTTTAGTCTTGTGTTGTTGCTACTTTCATGGCTGTGAAAAAAAAGAACATCTCGTGAACTTTACTGTCTTGTCTTTGAATCTGGGCCCTGTCCTTTAACCATCCAGTCTTTGTGCCACGCTTTGGTGGGTTTGCTTCTGTAGGCAGAGGCAGCTTTCAGCTTTTTGAGGGTTTCAAAGCATCTTCGGGAACTTTTAAACATGATGCAGAACTACTAGTTGAATTGAATCCCCATAAATCATCTTCAGATGACACAAAAACTGAAATGATATTTTAAACTGTGTTAGGAAAAAAAGACAAACCAATGACATTAGTCTCGACTTAGACTTTATTGAAAACATTGATAAACTGGATACTCTTCATCAATCAGGCATGAAATGACAAATACTGTAATGATACCAAACAGCGCTCACTGAAACAGATGTATTCTAAGCTCAATGTAACACAGTCAGCGTGACACGTGTTCAGTGATTTAAAGGAAGCACTGCATTTAACAGGAAGTTCTCATTTGATTGGGAGGGCGGTGGGTCTTTCAGCTACAGTGCTTCACACTGAGGATCTATGTGGAGTCGCCTTCTTTGTAGGAACTCCTCACTAGCAGCTAGTTCATTTAGTGGTTTTGGTCCTGAGGACTGAGAGGCCTTAGTGCTGATAGAGCTGAATTTTGGTCCTGTAGCCACACAGCCTGAATGTGCAGTGTCTGGATTCACGAATATTATTGCTGCAGTTTGTAAATATATTGGCATGTGTGTCTGGGAATGTTTCAGGTCTGCAGTGTTATAGCAGCGGTGCATGCTGGTGTTTAAAGATGCCCTTAATTTATTTCACTTTTAAAAGCCCTATGATCAGTAAGGCCCTTTACAGTGTTTAGAGCTGCTCTGAATTCAGTGGTCATAAAACACAGCAACACAGGAAATGATAAAATGCCACAGTGAGATACACATGAGCAATCAGTTATATTTACACCATTTGGAAATTCATATCTTTTAGTAAATGAATACTTGAGTGGGCCACTTTTATATTCAATTTACTCACTAAACAATTACAGGTGGCATTGGGTCCAGCATATATCCTTCATTATCAGCTCTGCATACTGTCAAGTTCACACAAGTCTGGAAGAAACATGTTGACAAATCAACATTCAAAGCCCTTTGTGAATACTGAGGAAAACTAGCATGATCATGAAAGGCAAACGGTGTCTTGACTCGGAATATTTTCTAAATGTAAAAACCTTTTGCTTAACATTGTATAAAAAGTGTACAAAGAGAAACAGATACAACCGACAACCTGACTCAACTAAACGTTAAAACCAGTTACATGTAACAGCGCTATCACAGAATCAAACCAACCAAACTGGGGCTGATTTCTATGACTGAGTGACCGAGCTTTTAAACGACAAAGCTGAAAGGCACACATTTATCAGGTTTACAGTACAAGTATTGCAGTTCTGTGCAGTTGATGCTCTAAACGGTAAGTAAACACTCTCCTGTGTGCACATTTATGGGCTTTGTAGAAATCCTAAATATCCAAGCAGTTTATTTGGGTTTTCCCTCACATGAACATTCACGGCTGATGCGTTCCTCCCGCTCTGCTGCAGTGTGCCAAATAAAGACAATTTTAACAAAGAAAAAACATCTATAAATACTCCATATTCCATATTATCAACACATGACCACAACTCCTAAATGAGAAGATTCCAGGTCTGCTTTGTAGGACTTCCAGTTTTCTACCCGCATCTCTAAAAGATTCAGGGAATTCTGGGTGGAAACACACATGCATCTCTACCCAGGTCCAGTATGTAATCTACCTCGAGACAGCGTGGCCTCATGGTAACACGTGATGTAGTCCAGAAATGTGATCTGTTCCTGTGTACTCATGGACAGCAATTAAATATGTGACAGTAACCCCGACTGCAAAACTCAAGTGTTTCAAAAGGAAGTGTAACAGAGCTTTAAAACATGGCTCAGCTGTTTTATTTGAACCTAAACCACAATCTGTGTTTAAACCTAAACCTAAGATTTTGGTCTGAATCTTAACCATACAAACATGAATCGTGTCTCTTAAGTGAATGCCACCATCTTCCCCTTCCAAGGGTGGACTACACTACAATTTGTGTTCATGAGCCTCATAAACTCTCCTCAGACTGTGTGGCAGATGTTTTTGTGCATACAAACAAACAAACAAACAAAAAAGAAAACATTTTTCTTCATGAACACAAATTAACAGACACATTTCTCGACTACTCCACGGACTCTTCGAAAACCCCAATCTATTGCCCAAGAACAAACTGTACTGCAGCATTGCTGCCTCAGTCATGAAACAGCATTAATGCCATATAAAAGAAAACAAAACTGCCAGCATTAGGCCGATAAAGGATTAAAAGAAATATTTACAAACAAGGCATAGTATATTTTTGTTCAATGTTTTAAGTACATGCATGCATGATTTTTAAGTCAAAAAAAAAAATTAAAAAATCTAAAAGCGTGATCACACTTTTTCGAAACTGACATGGAATGTGTGTCCTGTTGGTTTCTAAGGTAAGGTCAAGTCTCTTCATATTAAATTACCTATAAAAATATATATATAAATAAAAAGGTGAGGGTATTGTGTTGAGAAAGCTGCAGCAGCGGTCAACGTTTAGCTGCACCGATAGAACGAGAAAGGAAAAGGGGGGTGGGGGTGACAAGAGCGAGGAAAGGATGGGGAAACAAAGGTGGCAGTCAAGCACCGAGATGATCACAGGAAGAGCTGCTGATCCATCGCTGGAAAGTTCTGCCTTGGTTTCAGAACCCCGTGTGTGTGTGTGTACTAGAAAGAAACACACTGGAACACCTGTGACTCAGGAATTTTCTAAAAGCCTCAGACTCTGCTGCAGTCTAGAACATAGAATATGTGCTAGAACTGCGACAAAGCCGTTTCTATCGCTCTGTATAGAACTTCATCAAATAGAAACAAAGGCAGCCTGGTTCTAAACCCTCCAGGAGTTCTGTGTGTGTGTAAGTTCTGAACATTCTAGGCTGTGAGCAACAAGCTACAACCACCAGCACGTAGATCGCTTCTCGAGACTTCTAAGAGAGGAACTCTTTATCCAGCTCAAAGACAGAGGGCCGTGCAGGAGAGCTTTGAATGCGGCAGAGCGGCACGGTGCAGTCTCGTTTCTGGCCCTCGGTGTCCATGTCCAGCAGGGAGCAGCCCATCCCTACCTCTGAGGACAGCATCACGTTTAGGTTCTGCGCCGTCTTTTCTCCGGAATAGTGACCCAGGGAGTAGCTTTTGTTGCGTCCTCGCAGCAGAGCCCAGGTGTGGGGTTTGGCCCTGAGTGACACTGGCCGCGGTCTTGTGAAGGCCTCTCCACCAGTGGGCTTTTCTGGCCCTCCATCCTTCTCTTGTTTCTCCTGCTTCTTTTGTGTGACTGGAGGAGGCAGAGCGGGCAGGCCATTGGCTGTGAACAAACAGGGAGATGCATTTTTGGAGTGGGAATCCTTTTTAAACCTGTATATACAAGTTTTCTGACTTTTTGTTAGTTACTCACTGTTGTGGTTGGTGGTGTATTTCTTTCTGCGTAGACGTGCTGCTGGGTTGTGGTTGGTCTGCTCAGGCGGCTGGCTTTGGGTTTGCACCGCTGTCTGCGTTTTAGCTGCAGTCTTGTTACTCTGGCCTTCTGGAACTGCTGCTGGGCTGCATCTGGATGGCTCTGTGTGATGATTGACAGCCACATGCTCAGCCTTCACAGGGTTAGACTCCGACATCTCCGCTTCAGACTGTAAGAGACACTTGGTGGAGTTGTACTCCATGATGGCTGACATGGAAATAAGATTGACAGGTTGGGGGGAGTTGTGGTTTGACGTTCCCTCGTCTTTACGGGAGCGACCGCTTGGTGGTGAGGTGCTGCGGCGGAAACGGGTTGCACGTTGAAACAGGCCCTCTTTCTTTTTCTTCTCTTTCTCCTCTTTCGGGGGCTCGCAGTCTTCGCCAGCAGCTGAGTTTTTCAGGGCCTCCCTGATATCATAACCGAGCACAACCGAAGCCAGCAGTGAACCGCAGCCATACAGCACAGCGTCGGTCTTGCGGCGACCTGATGTCCTTTTCAGGCTGTTGGTGGGTGTAAGCTGTGGGGTAGTTGAGGTGGATGAAGTGGATGTGGTGGTATATGGGTCGTCTGGAGTCTCTGGTTGGCCGCTCTGACCTACTAATCCCACTCCAGCATCTCCTGTCCCGCAGTTTCCACCAGGGCAAATCTGAGTCTGCTGCTCGTCCCTCCACAGAGGTAGATCGATGTACACCTGGTTGGGGAACTTGAGCTGCTTTGGTTTGGAGCTGCTGTCAGAACATTCCTGGGAGAAAGTCTCATCTTTACTGTTCCCTGCTAAAAACACAGAAGTGGAAATATCAATAAATACCTGCTCCTTATAAATCCAAGCACCATTTAAACAAATTTAATGTCACCACTTGACAGTTTTAGCTCACCTTGTTCGGCAAACAGGGCAGCAAGAGGGACAGACTTCTGGGACTTCACCAGGCTGGTGGACCACGGGTTACTGCCATCTGACAGAGGACGCACTCTATAAAAAGAATTATTAGTGAGGTACACTGCAGAATTAGTTACATATATAAAGAAAAAAAGCACTGTAACTGTGCAGACATCTGGCCACAAAGACTGAAGATGCTCTTTCATGCACCACGCTGACCACAAGGTCGAGCAAAATTAGTGCTGCATAGGCTGTTCCATATCATTACTATGTCATCTTTTGAGGCGACACTGTCTTCGTGTGTGCTATATGCATCGGCTTCCTGTCATTCTACTTTTCTATTTGTGGCACATATGTGTGTCACACTGTGCCCATGCGACCCAACCATTATTGGACGGATGAGTTTCAGAGTGCAGCACAGTGCATGCCACTTTCCATCCTCTTACTATAATGATCGTAGCATATGATTTGTCTGTATATACCTCATCGCCTCTTTAACGGGTTGGCCAATCTGAGCGAAACTTTGTACAAACATTATCACACGTACAGAGATTATTAACATCTAAATATTTTTATAAAAGGATTGATTATAAATTACAATTGTTTAGATTTTTGTATATATTATGTTCACTTCACCATCCCTGTGCGAATGCGATGTTACATTTTCTATCTGAGTGTCTTTCATGTGCCAGCGAACAAAACGTTTTTTGTTTTTTTAAATTGTATAAGACTTTGAGATGTTTGACCATCTGCACTGCAGTCCTTTAGAGAAGCATACAAATGATGACTTCTTTACTTTTTTTTTGGACTCTGCAAATGTAGCATGAATCAGATACACAAAGAAGAGTCAAAAACTATTTCATCACTTTGAAAATTGGACTTAGACAAGCTTGTTTTGAAGTCTTCGACTACACAGCGTGAGTAAAACGTGACTGTCCTGCTTTTTTTCCTGTGTGTAAACACACTTCACCTCTGAGCGGCAGCAGGCCTCTCTTTGCTCTGTACTGAACTGGGTCCCCAGGTTCTTCCTTTCTTCTTGATTCCCTTTTTCACGTCATCAAACTCCTCTGGCCTGAAGGGGGAGCTGCGGCCCCACGTACGGTTGCTCTCATCTTGAGTAACTGTAAATGCAGGGATTGTTAAGTTTTACAAATAAACAAACCAATCAATCAACTCCTGCAAGCTGCTGTTGACCAAAAGACAGTCCTCACACGAAATATGGACAGGACATGTTAGTAGGATTATTAAATGTTTTCTGCCATCTGTACAATCCTGGTATTAATCAATCCATAGAAGCATTATGAAGTACAGTGGTCCCTCGTTTATCACGGGAGTTACGTTCCAAAAATAAACCGCGATAGGTGAAATCCACGAAGTAGCCAACTTTATTTTTACAATTATTATAGATGTTTTAAGGCTGTAAAACCCCTCACTACACACTTTATACAATTTTCTCAGACAGATATGAACATTTTCACACTTTTCTCTCTTGTTTAAAGACTCTCAAAG